ATCTGCCCCCCCCCACACTGCCCCCCCCCCCTCTAATTCCGTCTCTCCTTCTCTCCAGTCCCAGGCCCCCCTGTGAGAGTGATGTTTCCTGAAGTTCGATTGTCGTCAGTCAGGGTGTCATGGCAGCCCCCCACCAGGCCCAACGGGGTCGTTCTAGGTACACACACACACACACACACACACACACACACACACACAAGAGAAAATATTTAATGGGGGGGTAAACCTCCCAGGAACACACTAACAGTCAGTCCAGCTGTGTCCCCGCTGAGGCTGATGATGCACCTGTGTGTGTGTGTGTGTGTGTGTGTGTGAATGTCACTGTGACACTTGAACTCCACATCACCGTGGCAACAGTCTTCATCCTGAAGCTACAAACCTCAGGGAGTTCAGACGCAGTACTACAAATACAGTTCAAATACCACACACTACTACACTCTACTACACTCTGAGCAGTATCAGACGTTTACCCCCCCCACACCCCCCCGACAGTTCTGCTCTGACCAGATCAGATTTATCATAGACTTCTTCATACCAAACCCTGTGGTCCAGTGGTCTGCAGCCGTGTGTCAGTTGGAGGGTGGGGGTGTTATTACATGGCCTGATGCACATGAGACCACTGGGGGGGGGGACTGGACATTTAATGTCCAGTGTATGGTTACAGATGTATTTTCTCTTTCTAGGATACCAGATCTCCTACACCCTGGAGAGCAGAGGACCACTGCCCTGGACCACGGTGGAGGTGGGATCGAACGCCCGACAGTTCACCGTCACCGGACTCTCCTCTGAACAGACCTACACGTTTAGACTTACTGCCCGCACGGCCGTGGGCTGGGGCAGGACGCACGAAGCCCAAGTCATTACCTCAGAGCGAAGAGGTACAAACACACACACACACACACACACACACATATATGTCCATATATTCAGCAAATATAGATTCAAACGTTCAATCTTGGATTGTTGTCAAATACAGACCGGTTTCTTCTTCAGGGAACATTTAGAATTTTGAATCAAACGATGACTGAAAGTCAAAGTCAAAGTTGATCCAGATCAGATCAAAGTCCGTCTGCTCCAACGTCACACAAGAAGGTGTTTATACTTCACTCTGCCCTGGTAAATACCTGAAATACCCCTTTTCTACAGTGGTGGGGTATTTCTTTCTCCAGACTTCTCCTCGTCTGTGGAGATCGCTGCCTTCAGAGCGAGTGCTCGGTTTAAAAGTCCATTGATCGATGACTTTAATCCTTTTAATTTAGTTTTTGGTTTACGCCAAAATCAGTCAGCTGTAAAGATCTCATCAGTGCGGTTTGTGTGTTTCACGCACACACTCATTGATGCACGTAAAAAAACCTTATTAGAAACATCAGTCTGACTGGAGTGGGAACAGGTCGACACAGATTCAATTAACACGCCTCCATTTGTCAAAGCCACGTCTTGGCTCTAAATGTTACTTTTCAGTTTAGTTACAGACACAGTAGCAGTGACGCAACACCTGGTATATGATCCTAGATGAACCCTGGAGGTCAGAGGTCAGATCAGCTGAAACTGTTACTGTTGGACCAATGACTGCAGAGCTTTTATCTCATCTGCTGAGAGACAGTTTAATGGACTCTTCATTTACAAAGACTTAGGCTAATGCTTTATATTGAGTTAGAAAAAGTCTTTACTCCGTCGTAGTGAACGGTAATTCAGACCTGGACTCTTTCATTTGATTGGTTTTGTTACTGCAACTTTCTGAGAACATATTTGAACGTCTGTTCTGCTGAACGTCTGTTCTGCTGAACGTCTGTTCTGCTGAACGTCTGTTCTGTTGAACGTCTGTTCTGCTGAACGTCTGTTCTGTCGACTGGAGGTCGTCCTCACACCACATGTACTGATGACGTTAGTGATGAAAAAAGGAACAAAAACAGGACAAAATAGTTTGGTTTGATACTGACGGATGTCATGTGACAACTTTAACACCTTTCATTCACGTGTGTTTGTTCACACTCATCAGGTGAAGGCGTGAAATCCTTCAAACCAAATCCTGCCGCCGTGATGTCAGACACTGACACAGTCCTCGGCTTCTTTGTCATTTCTTTAATGAGTTCAGATTCTGTGACTTCATGTCAGTGTTTCTCCAACACCGTGGTCTGTTCTGACTGTAGGACAGACGGCTGAGACTGACACAGACACTGTCTCTTGGCTGCCGTCCCTGTAGGAAGATTCTAGAACCTAATTGTCTCCGAGAGGGCGATGGCTCATCAGCTGAGGTGAAGGTGATAACGATAAGATCATGAAGAGGCCACGGAGGCACATTAATCTGGATTAATTCTCCCGTTGTGATAGGATTGTAGCAGACGGAGTTAGAGATTAACCCAGAGGAAAGAAGGAGAATAAACTGTGTCTGTGTCTGTGTCTGTGTCTGTGCTGGGATGAAGTCAGTGAATAAGAAGAACAGGAGACACGGCAGGATGTTCAACACATTTGGACAGCACCATGGATGGTCCTACAGAGATGAGATGTAAAGACCAGGGATGAGAAGAAAGATGGAAGAACACAGAGGGAGCAGCAAAAAGAATTGTCTAAAGAACGTCAGGCAAATATATTGAAAAATGGTTCTAGAACTGACCTCACAGTCTTCCAACATTAGGAAGAAGTTAGAAAGCAGAACATTTAAAAATCTAAATATAATCATCAGGTGGGTTTGTCTATTTCTTTTTAGTTGCATCTTCAAAGAGAAAAAGACTAGAATGAAATCATTCAGACAACAGTGAGAGGAGGAGAAACAGGAGCCGCTTCATTTGTCACACTTTCACACAAAAACATTCGTCCCCGTGTGAGCCATTTACTAAACCCTGGTCGTGGGCGAGACTCTGCCGTGCCCCGCAGCACGGTGGGTGTTGGTGCGTCTTCAACACCCAGGCTGGGCCGTGGTCCAAACCACCAGGGCTGATCCTTTAACCGCTCAGCCAACGCTCTGCCTGAAGATCAGTGGACTGAAGAACAACAGAACATTAGATGTTTGGAACGGAGATCGGCCTAGCCAATGACCTGCTGGGATTAGCTCCTTGACAACAGAGAGACCAGATTATAACATGTACAGAGTCATAACAGTAAACAATAACATGTGATAACGGTGTTTATTACTAGTCTTTATCTGCTGCTGAGTGAATGAGTCTGGATTCACACCTGCATCTCCTCCACCCCCTGGTGGTAATGAACAGTTGTGAGGGTGGTGAAAGGACGGCACTTGTTCTGACAATTATGAGTTGATTATCAGGACACGATCGTTACTGTGGAGAAGAACAAGAACAAGAACAAGAACAAGAACAAGAACAGGAGCAGACGCAGAGACACAGGCGTTATCAGGAAAACAACAGGGAGAGAAGAATGAGCCTGGGGGGGGGGGGGGGCTGCGGGGGACGTGGATGGATTGTGATAAGGACGGGTGAGGGATGACGCACAAGTGTGTCACTGTGTGTGTGTGTGTGTGTGGAGTTATTGTGAGGTAATAGGCAGATGAATTCAGAGAATCACTGAAAGAGTTTTTTTTTTTTTTTAATTATTTCTGGATCCAGTCACTGACTCTGACAGTTTCCCTGAAACTGGATGGTTTTTCCTCCAGCTGTGACTTCTTCTTCTCTGATCTTCTGACGGTCCACACAGAGCATCGTTTCCCTGCTGCCGCGGGAGCAAATTGTCGGTTGGATTTGAAGGCGTCGTATGGAGAAACGACAGCACGTGCACATGAACACGGCCGTGTGCTAACGTGGAGCTAGCTGTTTGTAGCATATGGTTTATGATCCGCTCCATTTGTTCTGGACGTGGCACCGTTCGTTCCAATGTTTCTTTTTCTCCCAGACTGGATAAAACTGAGAGAACAGACGTCAGTACAGACACAGAACAGTCTGTTCTCGTCTGTTTGAGTCACGGAACGTTCTGCACCAGGAAATTATTGTCATTGATGTTGGTTATTAACCTGTTGTGGCCAAAAAAACAAACCAAACACTGTGAACGGCAGAGAAACAGTCGTCACATTTGGAAATGAAATCAGCAGCACTTTGACCTGGAGCCTCAGCAGCTTCAGAACCGTCAGGTCAAATAAAGATTTTAGTCCTGTTTACATTTCGTCCTCTGTTTTCCTGACCCATTTTTGATGTTCTTATTTTGATCTGACCGCAGAGCGTCCTCAGCCGCCCAGGAAACTCTACGTCCCTCAGGAGGACGTGGAGGCTCGTCGTCTGCGGCTCCACTGGGTGAGCGGGGGCTCAGGCTTCTCCCCCGTCAGGTTCTTCACTCTGCAGGTCAAACAGCTGCCAGATACAGACTGGAGCACTCACATCACCGACATCCCCTACAACGTGACGGTCTGGACTGTGGACAGGTACGCTGCTGACCGAGGCGGTCACACTCACACACACACACACACTCACACACACTTGTCTGTTCCTGTGGTCACGGTTGTGGACGCTCCCACTCCACTGATGTCCGTCCACACACTGTCCCTCCGTCCTTCAGCTTCAGAGAGTAAAGGTCAAACAGACAGAGTTTCAGTTTCACCCTCAGACTGGTGACATGGAGG